GAAAAAACTTTCAAATCTTTGGTAGTTGACGAAGAAGTAAGCGAAACAGATGACACAGACGTCGATGAAATCGAGCCTGAACATCCCGTATGCTGTATGCAAGACATTACAGTCAGTGCAAGAAGATTAAGCCAATGGCAGAGGAATAATGAAACTTGAAAGTCATGCTACCAGCAAAAACGCTGAAAACTCAACAGCAAAGAACTTTCCCAAGAGTCCTCTTGTCGATACGTGTTCAACCTCATGACTCGAGCCAACGCCTGTCGAGGAAACATCAGAAGACGAGAAATCAGCAAGCACTCACAAAAAGATGACCTTGAAAGAAACGATCAAAATTATGGAACAGGTACGCCAGTAGCAGGGCAAATCAAGCCGGTAATACATAAATTAAATACCAAATTAGCAAATTTTGCACGTAAAAAGAAAATTTCAAAGGTAAAAGGAAAATAAAGTAACAGAAATGATCGACTTAATAATCGACGATACAAGAGATACATTTGAACTTGTCAAAGGTACTTCGTCTGGATTAACAGCAGCAAATATCCAATGAATTTAAGTCCCATGTGGAACCAGCTACGAAATTGACAAAATAACCCCTCTATTGAGAACCATTGCTCCCTACAAAATGTGCCAAGCCCGCTACATGTATTCCGTCTAACGGCACTGAACCAGCTCGAACAGTAGCTCATACACATTATTAACACACCATATTTAAACTGCGAAATAAAAATTATTGAGGAAGGGTACGAAAGTGCTCAGGGTTTCAGGTCTCACTGGCAATTAATCACTAACACTCTACAATTAGAGAGTGGCGTTAATACAGAGAAAGGATTGCACCCTGTTTCCCTACTTTGTTCAATGCACGCAGAAGTGAGGGGCGACAAAATTATTCCTAGCGAAATTTAATTATACATTCGCGTATGCGAGACGGTGCGCGTGCATCAGTTGTCGGTACAAAAGCAACAGGACGGTAGCAGTTGTGGCGCCTTCGCATGCGCCTACGCCACATCCATTGTGTTTGGACAGAATCCTGGTTTCGTTGATAAGATGATAAAACTGCGCAAGCACGTTCACGACTGTTTTGAAAAACAGTCGGATACTTGGAATTGTCGGAATGCTGTTCTGACCATCGAAGCAATAGGTGTACTGTGCTGAGCTTCCGTACCAGCAGCTGGCGACTTCGGCCGGCTGCCACGTCATCTTTCTCGAACTTTGAAAATGCCCATGGACGCCATACAGTGCTGCCCCGCTCCGAGGCGTTCAGCCGGCGAAGGTTCTACCAGCAATAGATTAACTCCAGAATACCTATCAATGCTCCTGGCTTCCCACTGCAAAATGCGGAGTGACTCAAGACCGCTTTTTTTGACATCGCCTAGTCGTGACTGGCTTCATCAAGTGTACTGTGCAGACTCATATTGCACTAAGGAAACTTTAGCAAATTCTCACAGGAATTATTAGTACAATACGTTGCGACGATTTTAAGATGCCCCCGTGTGTAGTTAGTGCCCCGGGTTCGTGGTTAGTGTCCCCAGAAGAGTGGTTGGTGCCCCAGGTGAGTGGTTACATGGGTGCAAAGCTTGGTGAATGCGACGCCAATTTTTGCATTTGTAGACCAAAAACGTCGTAGACAGTTCTCAAGCTGCATTGCCGCGTTACCAGCAGTCTTCGAGATGCGCCCGACTGAAATTTTAAGGTAATGGCGTACCATAATTAACAATTATAACGGAATTCATCAGTTCGGATGGTCCCCACCACAGTTCAGATGGTCTTGCCAGGCCCACCAATGACCGGGAATTGTAAGGCACTCCCCTATTGGCTTATGGAGCAAGGCTTGGGCTAGACGGATTGAAACTCAATGACAAGCTGAGTTTAATGTATTAAAGATCTAATCTAATCTAATGCGCGAAGATAGCTAGAGCAAGGAGTTTTGAGACTAAGCGCATGATCCCTGGCGTTGGAATTAAAATCTTACAAGACAGGAACCAGTGCGCGAGTCACGATCAGCAGCTAAACTGGCAGCTACCAGAAATTCAACGACCACGTCAAGCTAGGCGCTCTTCATCTTAGCGGTTCGATTGCCAGTGGTGGGAAATTCGCATACTACTACATTACACTTAGAAACAATTTTTAATTGCAATTTTCGATTTGCAAGAATATTTTATTCTTTACGTAATTACGTAAATGTATTACTATAAATCTACAATTGGTGCTATTGATTTTGCGCACATTTGAAAATAATTTTTTCGTATCTATGAACGATGACAAGCTGGCGGCAGGGTGGCCCTGTGTTTGAACTGTAGAGTACCTCGATTTGAGCGGCGAGTACCTCGGTTTGATCTGCTACATGTCTGGTCAAATTGGCGAGGTGACCAAAGGGTTAAGCACTGGAAAACTGGAGCATGCTGAGTGAGTTGCGTGTTTGAGACCGCAACAAGATTAAAATATTCTGTCATGTTGAGAATTAGGGACAGGCCTAATGGTCTAAAAAGGCCGAAACCACTATACTATATAGTATAATATAGTTTTGTTCAAAATATATAAATACTAATGAAATGCGCGCAAACAATATTTATTGACAGTCGGATTTTAACCTTGTTTAGGTTTAGGCATCTATTGACTTTTCCTTATTCGATAATAAATAGCTCTAATAAAAAGGATGAGATAAAGACAGGTTGGCTCTAAAAGTGTCCTATCAACATAATGCGAATAATATTTAAAAGCTTTATAATTTCAGCATTCAAATTGTCTGTAACACGTCTCCCATGAATCATGTACACGAAAGCGCACATCTTACTGTTTGAATGTATGTTCATACTGACTTGTAGAAAGAGAAGCTCCTTAGTGTTCTTGTTGATGCATGGTATTCAAATATTCTACTCATTCATTGCTAAGATGTATTATATAAAATATGCACATATGAAATAATATATAAAATATGCACATATGAATTAGACCAATCAGCCCATCAGGAGAAACAGCCGGCGATCGAATGGCCTAGCATCTTCCGCCGTACCGCGAAAAAATTCTGCACCACTCGGACGTAGCGCGCCGGAGCCTTGCAGCGAATGTGATATCCGCCACCAAGCCGTCCGGATCTAGGCCGTGCGTCGAACCAGCCCTCGTTCGAACGGCCACTCGTCGAAGGACGATAAATTTCGGAACAGAACTATGCTATCTGAAACCTAGCCTTAGATGCTGTGTACGTAAAATTACGTAATTTAACGATGCCCGGAAGTCGTATTCGATCCGCGGTCTGGTGGTGCACGACAGGTTTTCTGCAAGGCCGGGGGACGTCTAGGACAAATTTACGGCCGGACCCGCGGACGGACTTGCGGCCGATCTCCCTGAATTCAGTGAGCATGGAATATATCCTAAAGTAATGGACGTAGCTCGATAAAACTTGGTAGACGTATTCATTAGGACCTAACGGTGATGTTTAGATCGTAAACATTTTTAAAATTTCAATTTAATTCGTGAGTTATATGACGATGCGTGCCGAAATTCGCAGTGAGCATGACATTTCTTCTAAACTACTGTACAGATTTGAACGAAACATTGAATATAGGAACCAAACCTTCCAACGGCGATCTTTAGCTCAGGCCAATTTTTTTAGATTTTGCCCTCCTTTGTGAGTTTTTTTTTTCATTATTTCCACATAACATAACATATTGATCTCTGCGCTCAAGTGTAGGCCTGATGTGGCCTGTCGCCGATTCTTTTGCTTATCGTGCCTAGGTTAAATCACATTCGTGATTTAAACAGTAATACGTGCTTAAATTTGTAGTGAGCATAGGAAAATAATTTCTCCTAAAATGCTGAACAGATTTGAACGAAACTTGACATCATTCTGCATCAACTTGCGCTCAACAGCCGGACGTGGACAAAGCCGAGTGGTCACAGGCTGTTGTGCGCAAGTTCCAGTTCGAGCGGTGGCCACTGGCCAATGTATGAAGTGACGCAACGTTCAGCACTTTCAGTGGTGGACACTGGACGGCCATTCATTTGTAGGCTATTCGACCTTGTGTCTGAGGGGTGTAGAGCTCAAAATATTTAAAGATGTCAGACGCAGGGGGGTTTCACACCGCGGGGGTTCGAACCTCCCTTTTGGGGGATTAAAGCAGAATGATGTCAAGTTTCGTTCAAATCTGTTCAGCACTAGGTGAGTGGGTAACGTAAGTTACGTAACCCCCATGTTAGTAAGTCGCGAAAAAAATCGGTTTTCCGATGCCGACCGCCAAAAATGGATTTCAGATTCGTAATCTACACCCCAAAAAACATATAATTAAAAAAAAAACACCCTTTTTTTTGGATGTAGTTAATCTGCAATAATACCAAATGGATTTCAGATTCGTAATCTACACCCCAAAAAACATATAATTAAAAAAAAAACACCCTTTTTTTGGATGTAGTTAATCTGCAATAATACCGAAAGATTATATGCTCATTGCGAATTTAAGCATGTATTGCTGTTTAAATCACGAATGATAATAACAACCGCCCGGCCCCCTTGCCGATTCTGACCAAAAACTGGCGCACAGATCTGGGATCGAACCCGCGCCCCTCTGCTCCAATCCTGGGACTCTGAACTTTAACCACTGGGCCACCCTGCGAATGTAGAAAATGTATGTAGAATGTACGAATGTAGAAAAAATGAAAAAAACTCACAGAGGAAGGTAAAATCTAAATAATTGTCCCGAGCTAAACATCACCGTTTAGAAGTTTGGTTCCTATATTCAAAGTTTCGTTCAAATCTGTACAGTAGTTTAGAAGAAATGTCATGCTCACTGCAAATTTCGGCACGTATCGTCATATAACTCACGAATTAGGGTTAAATTCCAAAAATGTTCACGAGCTAAACATCGCACCAAAGACAAAACTACCGTTTAATATAATATATTATGGAATATTCGCGTGAAAAATTAAAAGATGTCAGTTAAATCAAGAAGTAAACCGCACAGCTGCAATTCATACCCAATCCGGGCCCTGGGGTGTCCCTTCTTTTGATTGGGGGATTCGACTTTCGAGGGCGTCGGTTGAAGTGATCGATTATTGATAAGTAAGCTCCAATTTGGCCTTCAAGAGTAAAATCTTACTTATTCATTTTCCCGATTTCGGTGCTCACAGTTAAAATAACAATTTTCATCATGACACGATTTTCAGTTAACTGAGGTAGGTAGGAGTTAGGACGGAAGAAAGACGCTCGGAGGCTCTGACAGGTGCGTGGTCTCCATCAGACCCCATGCTCATCAGATGCTGAATCTGGAAAGGCATCGGCCAAAGTTCCAAACCACCAAGACAACGAAGTTACGAACGTCTGCACTAGCCCAATCCTAACCCTAACCTCTGTCAGTAATTCAAAACTTTTCAGCTTCCAGTCTTCCACTTTTGAGAATTATAACGATGGACCAGGACCTACCTGTGGATTGCCCAGGATTGGTAGGAGAAAGACCACTTTCTCCGTCCCTTATACCTGCAGGCAGCCCCACCTGAGGCAGGTGAGGGGATAAGGATTACTATTTTATTTAGCAGGAACAGTCATTATCAAGCAGGTTAGCCTAATAATGTGGAAAGATATTCCACACTCCAGACATCCACTGGCACAGGGCACTGGACACAGTGATTCAATATCACTTAGCTACTCGTATATTATTCAATTTATTGCATATAACTATGCATTTAATTTATATTTTATAAGAGGTATCTTACAAATAGAATTAATAGCAATGATTATGATGAGATACAAAAATGAAGTATATTAAAAAAATAGTAAATTAACTCTAGGCTAGAGTTTCTAGCTGTCTTTAGTCTTTCCTGCATGCCTGAAAGGCTGAATGACAGCAATCATTTTTTAACACTGTAATTGTAAGTCTGTACTCTGTAACAGACTAACAGAGCCAAAAAGTCTGTAACACAGTAACAGAGCCAAGGCCCAAGCCCCAAGGCAACAAAAATCACCTATTGGTTGCCTTGTCACCCCTTGTGCTGGGTTAAGTTAGTGTGTGACTATGCTTTTTTTGAAAAGCTTTTCTTTAAGTATCATGAAAATCAAAATGAACCTCTTTAATGACCTGAATTGTTATCCTTTAAAAATCCAAATATTGCATGCATCCTACTGCATTCCTACAGGCTACACACCCTGCAGGCAGGTGAGGTCCTCAGGTCTATCTAAATTCTAATTGTCAACAAAAGTGCACAATAGACTAGTCTATCATGAATACTGTAATAGTGCCACAAAATTTCATATGTATTGAAAATTCAACACTTTTGACCCACTGTCCCACAACACTTCTGTGACATGAAAATTACAATTCTGCATGCAGGCATTTAACATTTCAATGCTCTTTTGCTTACCTTTCTTGCTTTGATTATGAGTTATGACTTCTACTTGTATAGATCATAGATGTGAGAGCATTGAGAGGGACTGGCAGGCTGGCAGCCATCCCATCTCCTAGGACATTCTTGATATAATTCACATGATCTCCTTATCATATTGATCACTCATCAAGGCAATATGATTGATTTGGAAGTATCGGCCACATGTGGCTTATTTTGAAACTTGAACAACTTTTGAGGATCTATCAAAACTCGGGACATGGCAGAAACACATCACTGACAGTCTAGAAGATACCCAATGTCTAAATAGCATATGTTTCTTTGAAATTATGAATTATGAAATTGAAACTTTTCTCACATTAATTTGAAGTATTGGAAAATTATCTAATTTTCGACAATTCCTAAACTAGTGCATCTCTTGTAACTACTTATATTTCAAATTGCAAGCAGATCCATTCAGTATTGAAAAAGTTTTGAGTGGTTTGTTTGCCTAAAAATTTTGTTTTGGTTGTTTTAATTGAAAACAAAGTAATGTAAAAATCTGTAATTGTTTCAGACACAGCACATTAAAAATACCTACCTACTTATATTTCAAATTTCAAACAGATCTATTCAGGATTGTAGCAGTTATGAGCTGTTTAGTTGCCTAATTACATTTATTTCATTTTAATTAAAATGGAAGTAATGTAAAAACTTGTAATTGTTTGAGACACAGCACATTGATAATACCTACTCATATTCTGAATTTCAAGCAGATATGTTCAGTATTGAATGAGTTATGAGTGGTTTGGTTGAACAAAAAGTTAGGTTGTGCTATGAGTCCACAGGCAAGTTTGCAGTTGAGTTCAGAAAAGTGTCAATTTGGTTTTGATCCTGAGAGTTCCAGGTCCAGATTTAGTGGCTGTATTATGTGAGTAAGGAGAGTGGCTATAGGGGTTAAGATTAGGTTTAGAAGTTACAGATAGCCATTCCTCTCCTAATTAATTTCTGTAGATTTTATCCACAAATGTAATGCATGTGAAAGTTGGTTGTGAAAGACTTGTAATTACTCACTATAGCTACTCTTGCATTTCAACAATAACTACAAACTTTGGCATTGAAGCTCTTAAAGAAATTGATTTGGAAGGCTTGAATTGAACTCATAATGGAAGCCATGAAAACCAATATTCTTTTCTTTTTCTCTGTATCATATGTTTCTTTCCCTGACTAATGCAACCTGCAATGGCTTCCATAAAGTCATACAAGTCATCACGCAGATATCAAAATGGGAGACCCTGTTTCCTTGGATAAGGAAGGCCTCAGATGGATCTGGAATTGGAATTGTGGTTCATGCTGTCCTCCAGTCAAGACCTTTAGATTTTTCATTCACATTGCCTAAAGAATCTTTTACTAGTGTAAAATTTTGTGAAATGTTCACAGCGCACTTGGCAGTTCAAGAAATGATTTAATAAGTACCTATTCACTTCAATCCTAAAAGATTAAATTATTCAGTTATACATGTCAACATCCTGACAAAAAGAAAAAATGTGCTAAAACATTTGGCATGGTCACCTATGCCTTCCCACCCTACCCTCTAAGGGTAGGGTCCTCAAGACCCCACCCTTATCATCTCTCTCCTGCCTCCTCTCTCTCTACCTCCACATGTTCTACAAATATCTATTCACACTGTCAAACATAGCTACAGTTGCCTCCTCAGACAGATCCACAATTATTGCCATCTGCTCTTTGCTTGTTATTTGCTCTCATATCCCACTTCGTTAATCTCCCCTCCCTCATTCAGAATTACCTCCAGCATTGACTGTCACTCTCATGTGCCCCACATTCCATCAACAAGTGTCCCTCTACCTGTATGTGCGTCCAATCATGCCAAGCACTCCTGCCCTCACACAGAACAGGTCTCCACCTATACTACCATCATATATAGTCACATTTTGACATTTCTTTCATCTGATACAGTTTCAGAGTGTTTTTTACCTCAATTCTTGCTTCCATACCTTCAGCCCATAGGTACGGTAGTCTTCCACTTGCTTATTTATTTCTCTTTTCCACTCATTTCATTCCACTCTATCCCACCCTGTACTGTCACCACCTATTTATGCTTTGTCCCAGTGGGCCCCTAGTGCTCCCATGCCTACCACACATATGTACCAATGCATGACATCTATGTGCCCACTGGCTCACCTTTATGTTCAACATGTACATTTGTGTGCTCAACATTCATCATCCATTAGCTGCATTATCACTTTATATTTGCAAGGCAATTCTGCAATTTGTGTCATGTTGTCATTATCCCCCACAAAGGCTGCTTGGTTCAGCTCAAAAACTTATTTTCACTTGACCAGTGATGTGCACTTTAACATAGTGCTAACATAACTTACCTCCCAAAGTTGTGCAGCCCTTCCTGAAAACCTGTCATAGACACAGAGAAGCAAAGTAGGGCATTTGAAAGCTGGTGGCCTGAAAGAAAAATTATAAAAAATACTTTCAGATCAGAATGGCTTCAGTTGATCAGTCACCATCAAAGGAACCCAAATTGTTTGATAATTGCAATACCAAAAGTAAGTAAACCAAGCTAACTGTAACTTGCAAGTAATTTATTTTTGAAAATTTGGTATTCAATCCAAATCAATCAGGACAGTGCCGAATTCAGCTAATTTTTACATATTACTGAAATGTTGCTGCTTAAAAATGTTGAAATACTGGGGCATATTTTAATTTGGAATCTTATTGCTCTAAATTTACACGTTTTGTTTTGATGAGAATTTTGAAGGTCACAAATTTTTTCTATACCCATTGTCTGCTTCAGTCTTTGTAGCAAAGCAAAGACTTTTTTAGACTCTTCCTTTATAGTTCATATGAGTTATTTGCAGGGTACTACAAGTGAGCAAATTTCTGACAAGAAATGTAGGTATAGTAGAAAAAATGTACATAAGTATGATTAAATACAAATAAGATTTGAACAGGTATAGAAGCACAGGTGTTGGCTCAACCATTCTATGGAAACTAAGGAGAGAACACTAGCATTTGTGAACCACATAATCAAGAGATATGCTTGATATCTTGTCAATATGCTTATCATGAATAAAATTAAACTCTCAGTTTGATACAGCCTGACAAGTCCAGCATTTGTGAACCACGTAATCAAGAGATATGCTTGATATCTTGTCAATATTCTTATCATGAATGAAATTAAACTCTCAGTTTGATACAGCCTGACAAGTCCAGCATTTGTGAACCACATAATCAAGAGATATGCTTGATATCTTGTCAATATACTTATCATGAATGAAATTAAACTCTTAGTTTGATACAGCCTGACAAGTCCAGCATTTGTGAACCCCGACTTTTTCTAATAATTTGCACCAGATGGGAGAGAAGGGCTGACAATAAATGATGGCCACAGGCATGGGAGATCTTCATAGATGCCTGAGTCTCCTATAAAAAGTTCATTGTAATCTTTAATTGCACCAATTTGTTAATAGTCAGTAGTAATATAGGTAAATTACTGATAATAACACACAGTGAGTAACATTTAATCATTAACAATCTTTTGCTTCTTTATCTGCATTGCTGTTATAACCTGTTCAGTATAGCTCATTAATCTTTGCAGAAAATGTGTTATTATTATTAATATTAAATTATTACTATTTTTTTACACTCCTTCCAGATGGCAGTGAAGATTCTGGGGCTTGTTTAGGAGCACTGGCAGCAAGTCATGGTGAGTTTTAGGTTTTCTAAATTGACATTAAGTAATAATATGCTTTCTCTGTCTTCTAATTTTGCAATGTGTAGAATTCATTTTTATTATAGTTTGGCAAAAGTTGAAGACCACAATGAAGAAGTTGAAGTTCACCATGAACTTTAATAAAGACCACAGAATGGATGTTGTTGAAAAATCAATGATTATTAGAATTTTTTCAGGTGACAAAATGTAGGAGACATATTTCAGCATCAGTAAAATAAAGTTTTTACAGATACTGAAATATCTGTAGACAATGTGTTTATGGATACAACTCTAAAATCAATAACTGTAAAAAAATTAAAATTTCTGTTGAAAATGGTGTCCAGTGTATTGAGTGTAGGAAACACACAAATTTTCTTGCAATAAAGAAGGTTGTAGGCTTTTCCAAAGCAAAAACTGCATTAGCTTGACCGCAACTGCCTTGATTTGCTGCCTAACTTGCCACTTCTAGTCGGGAAGACCATTGAACCGCACGAGTGAGGCTCACAGTGAGACCATCACCTGCCCGGTCCTGGAACCTTATATGCACCAGCATCATCATGCAGTGCCTCAAGCCTGCACCAGCATCATCATGCAGTGCCTCAATTCATCAGGACCTAAAAATCATTTCTGAGTAATTTAAGTTGAAAATTTTCAAGTTGTATCCATAATACCAATGGTTTTGCACTAGTCATTACAAAATTTCACAATTTCAATTGTTGCAATACTTTCATCTTACTTAATAATGAATAATGTTTTTTTGCACACTATTTGCTAACACCTACTAAGAATACTGTTTGACTCATAGAAAAAAATTAGCAGAAATTTTTTAATAATATCCATTCTCTGGTCTTCAATGAAATTGTCTAAAATATATGTAGGTATTTTTTCTATTTATGAGTTATTTGGTGAGCTAGCTATACCTCATCCCTGGCTTCCAGAATTTTATAATAAATATCCAGTACAAAATAATACAGTAGAAACAATTTAAGAAGTTGTTTTAATTTTATGTATATTTCAGATTGTATGGAGACTCGTGAGCTGATCTGTGAACTCTGCCGCTTGTTTTACACACTAGGCTGGGTGACAGGCACTGGTGGAGGCATCTCAATCAAGGACAAGTTTGTTTGATTACAGTGTTCTGCATCTTATTAGTACAATTCAAATATTAACTATGCATTACCGGTATATGATTACTTTATTTTCTTGCATATGCTCAAATAATATGTTACAGGAATAAGGATATCTTTATTATTCATTATGAAAATAATTGTTGTCACTTAATTTTATGCTAAAGTGCTTCATTCAAGTTGTTAGTTCAATGTGATAGGTATTAAACTAAGAAACAACCTTCACTTAGATCAGTAGTAGGTATATATTTCCCCAAGTAATGGCAGGCTCTGTTCAGTTGTCAAATCCCATCCACTCATTCCACTGTAATCTAAAACGTAAAAATGCCTCGTACCCTACGGAACATCTGATATCTAGAAGCGATTTTAAATCTACCGTCTGTAAGGCCAGTCTAGTCAAGAAAAGTACAAGAATCGGCGACAGGCCTATCCAGGCCTATTTATTTAATGCCGAAGATACTATACTATACTATACTAAAATACGTTGCCTGTTCACCACAGAGATGGCGGCATCTTTGTTGCGCCTTCAGGAGTACAGAAGGAGCGGATCAAGCCAGAAGATCTCTTCAAGCTGGACTCTGATGGCCAAATATTGTCTTCTCCCAGCAATGCTTCACTCAAGCTGTCTCAGTGCACCCCTCTCTTCATGCTTGCATACAAATGTAATTAGACTTATTGTTTCCTAACCATATATGAGGCATGTTTTTTACAGGGTTCGTACCGGTCATTGAAAACCTGGAAAGTCATGGAATTTGATCTTTCATTTTCCAGGCCTGGAAAGTCGTTGAATTTCATTTCAGGTTATGGAAAGTCATGGAATTGCAAATAAATGAAGAAAAAAAAGGAAGTGTTTTTCTGTGCTGCGTGTGTTAAACTGTTTGTGCAGTCTCTTCTTTCCTGCGTTCTGATATGGTTCTCCAATCGCGTGACACGGTCACGATTGGTTCACCAATCGGTCACGTGATCGGTGAACCAATCATGTGAGCTCAGTCACAGGATTATATATATATATATATATATTATTTCAATTATATTGTGTCTATTTATTCATTATATGTTATGGTATATTTAAGGTTAAATTAACAGTCCAAATAAAGTTGTTCTTTGCTTCGGTTATGGGCCCCTCCCTCGATTAGGCTCTAAATAATATTATGTTAAGAAATTCACTATAAGAACTTGTACTGCAGTATGTGGAGCTGGAGCTGTTCTGCACTCACACTCCAAGAATGCTGTCCTGGCCACATAAGGATTGTCACCTGAAGAACTGTGAGGCTAGGAGCAGATTGTCGAACCCTGAAGTTGAAATCAGGGCCAAGCTTAGCTTATAAGGATTGTCACATGAAGAACTGTGAGGCTGGGAGCAGATTGTCGAACGCTGAAGTTGAAAGCATGAATGTCATGATTAGAAAGTAATTTATTAAATCTATGAGGGACACTAATGAGTTAACTTTTTCTCATCTGAACCTGGGTGATAACCGAGAGATATTTTTAAAATCAGAAAGTTTACTTCGTGAAAAACTCTGGCTTTTTCCGAGACAAAATATATTAAATGAAGTTTTGTAGTTGTTTTGCGTTTGATAATAATAGTTGTTTCAACAGCAGCCCAAGTTTATCGCGGTATTGTTACCGATATTTATTCTTAAGACAATATTGTGTTGATTCTATTCTTTATGCAAGCTTCTATTTTGATCAAAATTTGTCTACTTGGCCTGTATTATAATGTTCTGCAGTCCCACGTTTGGTGTGACTCGTCCTTATTGCTGTAGCTTTAAATAGTTGGTAATGCTAAAATTACTTTGAATAAATTAATTTAACAAACTTTTGGTTTGAATAATATGAAAAGAATTAGAAAGTAATAATTTCGTTACATTTGCAGGCAATGAATGCGTATCCAAGTTCTCAAGCAGTGCTGGTGCGGAGACATGGCGTTTACGTCTGGGGCGACACGTGGCAGCAGGCAAAGTCCATGTCAGTTATTAATTATTTCATAAAATATATTAATGTACAGTACGCGCTGTAAATACCTGTAAGTAACAGTAAGACGTACACCATAAAAGGCTCTGACATCAAAGAGGAATGTTACGATGATAAGTAAATTTACACTTGTCTAGATCTAGCATGTTTTAGTGGCGTTTTACTTAATTAAATGCAAGAGGTAATAATGCGTTAAGAGTTGATTTATTATTGATTGCTTGGTTGCAGGGCGGAGTGCTTCGACTATCTCTTCGAGGTGGCCGTGGACATGAAGAGACTCCACATGGATGCGGCAGCCAAACCCTCGCTCCACGAGAACCTATGAAAACTTAGGGCGTTTTCTGTTATAGTTTCTAATTTGAATTGGGCTGCTATAAACTGTCTACACTTTGTTGAACTGCTTCTATAAATGTTTAAATTATCAATATCTGATTCATGAGCTGTGTTTGTGCCTGGATTGTCCGATAATGAATACGTACCATTTATGAATTGTGTATGTATACGCGGGCATGCAAGAATTTCCGTGGATATTCATTCATTTGTTATTGAATTTTTTCATTCTTTCCGACTTGCATTTCTTCTTGTACGTTCTTGGCAAACTGAAACTTGCCATGCTGGTGCTATTAGTGGAGTCGGTGCCATAATTGTAATATAGAATTTAATCCGCTGAAATTGGATGCAAATAATTTCAGCATTTAACCTTCATTTTGTTGAAGCGTTTGTCGCATTTTCAGATTTTTGTGTTCAAAAACTGAGCAATTTGGTTAAATTTTCTGCCAAATACTGATAAAATTTTGTAGAGAGGCTCATTTACGTATTTTTTTGTACAATCAATTTTGTCAGATATTGAATCTTGAAATTTGGGATTGCTTCAAATCTCTCCAGTTGTTTCTCATTAGTTAAGTGTTTTACATGTTATAGTTGGATGGATTTTTTACCGTGCGCTCTGAAATAATATGCATTTTTTTACGTTTGCAATGTTAAGTTCAACTCACTTTCAGCAATAAATGTTAGCAATCATTCTGCTAGTTCCTAATTCTGTTTACAATACAGTGTGATTCGTACATAACTTTATTTTCCTCCTATTAAGCCTCACGCTGATAGAGCTGCCGTCAAGTTTTCATTCATCTCCCGGAAATTAATCAATATTAGCAAAAAATGAATGTAGTACTGGGCCGTATTATCAAAACTTCGTAAGTACGCAAAATCGACTTACGAGTGGCGTTGCTATGACAACGTAATACTAGCGGTGGTATAAAAACATTTGCGCGGGAAAAAAATTTAGGCTTTTAGCTAAGACTTGCGTACGAAAGTTTTGATAATGCCAAAATTAGGGTGTATTTACGTACCACAGAACTTTTTTGTCGTAAGTACAAAAAGTTACGAAGTTTTGATAATCCGGCCCCTGTTCAATTATCTGTTAAAAATTGGCTAGCCTAAGCTGTATAAATTCTAAAGCTTCCTGCTACTCTTCTGAAACTGCTGAAATGCCTTTTAATCTATAAGTTCTATTTTGGAGCCTTCGTGTAAATTCAGGTATTCGTATGTTTCGATTGCTTTTCTGGGGAAATATAAAATTAGATTAAGTAATAATATATATTATTTATTTAATATTAAATGATATGCGATCCTAACTTGTTATTAGCCTGGATGGCAAGAGAAGTAACCGTAATGGCATCAATACGACAATACCAATACATGGGGGAGACACCTGCCAGAATGGATCTATACTTTTCCCTTTGCCAGCAAAGTAGAGGCATCTGAGGATAAGAAACTAATTTCTTGGCTTGGCCGCTTATTCACACTAGAGCCCATTAATACTTGGTCTTTTACAGTTACGATTAGGAAAGCGGTGTCGGCTTTGGTTAGGCCTGTCGCTGATTCATCGCAAAATGTTCACTGCTTGCTACGGGTTTAGAACTCATAACTCTGCTGCAATTTTGCGTTGCAATACCTCCCGGCCACCTTTTCGATTTGACCAGAACTGTCGCAATACACAATCCCTGGCCGGGGTAACAATCCCCGCCCCTGCACTCCTACCAGCGGCGAGAATCCAGTGACAGCGTCGTGCATCAGCTGGCACGAACGAGGGCAGATGCGTGGTAGTCACAGGCGGCAATTCATCGTGGCCTGGGACTGGTACGTCCGAGACATACACGTCTCGGACAAATTTACGGCCGGTCTCGCGGCCAATCTCCGAATCCAATGATCAAGGAATATCTCCCTAACTAATCAACACAGCTCGATGAAACTTGGTACACGTATTCATTAGGACCAAACGGTGATGTTTAGCTCGTGAAATTTTTTTCGCCTTTCGCCTTCATTCGTGAGTTATCTGGCGATACGTGCCGAAATTCGCAGTGATCAAGGAATTTATTCCAAACTACTTATCAGATTTGAACGAAACTTTTTCTATACATACCTAACTTTCTAACAGTGATGTTTAGCTCATGACAATTTTTTCGATTTTGCCTTCGCTTGCGAGTTATTCGGCAATACGTATATAACTCGCTCTTGGTCAATGCAAATTTAAAATCGGCCTCAGAAATGCCGGTCGTTTCTCTTTATACCCGTATAACTCGCAAACGAAGGCAAAATCTAAAAAATTGTCACGAGCTAAACATCCCCGTTGGGAGTTTAGATATTTATTAAACAAATTTTCGTTCAAATCTGCTCAGTAGTTTTGGAGAAATTTCTTGATCACTACGAATTTAAGCCTGCACTGCTGTTTAAATCACATATGAAGGTAAAATAACAAAAAAAATCGCGAACAAAGGTAAAATCGAACAAATTTTCACGACCTAAACATCACCGTTTTGTAGTTATAAATGTATATTCGAAATTTCGTTTACTCTGGCACTATAACCACTGAGCTACCTATACACCTGCTGGTATTTAAACGCTGTTTATTAATATATTAATTCAATACATTGCGCTGCCTGAAAATAATGCGTTGACTTCTAGTGAAGGCATAAAATCGTGAAATTTTCTTTGAGTTAATTAATTACTAACGAGGTACCTTTTTAAAGAAATTTCATTTTGGAGCTTCTACTTACTATTGTTAGTTATCATATTTGATATATGTAATATTAATATGAAATGTATGAGAGTTCCCGACTTAAGTGCTGCATTGGGAGTATAACGAAATTACGTAATATAGTAATATAAGCGTAGAATATAGAACAGAACAAGTTCAATCAGGGCGTGTCTTATCTTGAAAGTAATTCCAGCTTCAGTGAAAAATTTCTTTTGTTTAGCTGAAATTTTGCATGACACAATTCTGGAAATTTTATAAGTTATTTGTCTTTAATTAAGTGCTCTGAAAATGAAAGAACAATGTTAATCACTTGGTGCTGTTGCAAGTATGACCAATTCATGGCTTAATTAAACTAAAAATAGAACGCATGAGGTTCTTCCAGCGTAGTCTATGGTCCAAATGTCCAAGGAAGAATCGACAACATTCTTCGGCACAATGCTGGAAAGAAAATACTTGGCATTATTCTCCAATTTTAATCAGCACTTGTGGTCGTTGGTTTTATTTGAGAACAATTATCTTGATGAAAATGTTCTAGGATTTGATGACTGAAGTTTTGCTTACAACATATACTGCAATCTTCAGAAATTACCGATAAAAATTATTCGCATTCCAATGTATGACAAAGGGAGATTACATTATAAAATGAAACAAGTTTTACATTAACATAAACAAATTGAATTTATATAGATATAATTTATTTATATCTAATGCGCAATGCGGTTATTGATGCATAGCTGTTAGCATAAATAGCGGTGTAAGCCATGTAAATTAAACCTGTCGCCGATTCTGAACATCGCAGAATTTTCACAGCTTGCTCACGGGTTTCGAACACGCAACTCACTGCTCCAATTTTGCTGTGCATTTAACCCCACGGATACCACGGCGATCATCAGAACTGTTACAGGGAGCGGGGGTAGACTACAGCTCCCTGCTCCAATTTTGGTACCTACTCCGAACTGTTTTTACTAGACCGTCTTGCCATATTAAGTGTAATTTATGTTATTTATTATTAAGAAGAATGCATTAAATTTCATGGAATTTCTCATTTGCAAAACCAAAAAAATGCATCTCTAAAAACTGTGTTATTTTTCAAGTTAAGAAATTTATAATTCAATGACGAATTTACTGCATTAAAACGAATTTTTACTTTCAATAGAATAAATAACAGTAAGGATTGATGAAAAAAGGCGCTATTGTGCTCGTCATTTCCGTCCGTCTGTCTGTCCGTGTCCGTGACTTCACGTTTTCGTCGAAGAGAAAATGCGCTCTCGTTCACTCACTGCAGTGAGTACTGAGTTATATTTTTTATGCAACGAAAATCTTTGATTCAGCTCTCGTACGATTAGCGATGATATAAGTTTTTGTGCTATATGTTTGCTACTGCGAAAACACGAAAAAAATATAACTCAGTACTCACTGCATTGAGTGACAGAGAGTGCATTTTCTCGTCGACGAAAACGTGACGTCCCGGACGCACAGACAGACGGACGGACATGGCGAGCACAATAGCGCCTTTTTCCATAAATGAGAAAATGCGCTAAAAATCGAGCTTTCAGCAGTAAAGTTAGTTTGGTTGTCGGCGAAGTAACTATAGATTTTTTACATGTATTGAGATAGGAGTTATTCATGAATATTCTGCTGAGGTAATATAATGAATTGAGAGTAACTACTTGTGTAATGACAGTCCGTAACTAACACTGAACTTTGACACTGCCTGGTAATGTATGCTAATCCTGTTCCGTGGAGTTGGTACAGACTGTGCAGACTGCCACTCGCCAGTAGCCATCGAAGAGCCGCCGAGCAAGGATGTGTTTCTTTCTTCAATGGTCAAGTGTTCGGCATGGTGTTCCTTTATCCCTGTTAGCCATTTTCAAATTTCGTAAATTGTAGGCGTTCAAACATTTTGCAATAGGCTGATTTATCTGCATTTTATACTATTTTTGCTTTAGGTGCTACGAAAAAATCTTTAAAGTTCATTTGACCTTCCCTCTAGAAGTCTACCTAGATTATCGAATTTCTTTAATCGTTGACAGAAATCGCATTTCTATACAATATACATCAACTATGAATTAAGTTATTCCGAAGAATAAGCAAAACGCATGCTTGTCATGTATAAATATCTTCGAATGTAAGATGCCGTTGGGAAAATGACCATTTAGTATTATATTTATATTCATACATGTTCAATTCGCTGATGCAGTGTAATATTCTTCCTGACTGCTTCTCCAGGGAAAATGTTAACCTCGTGTCTTCTCAATTGTATATTAACCTTTATTTGAAAATAAATACATTTTGTTGTTTATATCAATTAAAGTGGGTTATGTATTGGCTGCGATACGAATATGAATGTATCTTCGAACAATACTGTAACGAAAAATAAACGGTCTATACGGTTTATATGTTAGATCTAACGATGAACAGGTTAATTTGTTCACTTGATTCCTTCATGTGCATACATTCGATGTGTATACATTTCATGGTTTTGTTGTTACGTCAAAACGCCTTCTGAAATCAATGCGGCTTCATTTATTATGGCTTAGGTGATCGCTCCAAGGTTGATTGACCTCCTCCATTGATGCAGTTGACTAGGGACTGGGGTAGTTAGTTTCACGGGCGTGCGCACGCATTTTTCGTGCGCGCGATAAATGCTGAATTATTTACAGGAATTATCGAACCAGCTAGTCACGAAAATTAATTAATGTTTCACCATCCTCCTTTTCAATCGTTTCAGTCCAGTATTCATGAAGCCCTACAAAGACAATTGGTAAAGCGATCTAAGGAGTCTTGTCCAATCTACAAGAACTTCATGAAGCACCATAGCATAGCACAGCGTAGTGATGTCGGCGCTGAAGTATAGGCCTGATGTGGTCTGTCGCCGAATCTTGTTCTTTTCGCGACTTACCCACTGGAGATTTGAAAGCAGGTCCTTCGACCGGAAATTTTCCAAACTGTCTATTCCAAACTTTTCCAAACTGTCACATTATACAGAGAAATTTCGAAATTTGCGTAATTACCTACTCGAGAAAT